CCCCAAAACCCCAAAACCCCAAAACCCCAAAACCCCGTAAGGCATTATTATTAATATGCAGAGCGAAATAGTTAGAATTATAGAATCCAAGTTCAATTTAATCCTATCACATTCTACATTTAGCTTTAAATAATAAATTTATATGGAACGTAATCAAGTCAATATCAACTAGCAATAATCTGAGGTTGCTAAGAAATCTTAAAATCGATTTCAAAGAGGATTTATCATTCCAGCAAAAACCTCCTGTAATCTACCATATTTTGATTCAAATTTAAGAGAGAGGATACTTTGTGCTGGACCAGAGCAGTGGTTTAATCCACATGTACAAAAATATTGAAGATGATATTCCTATCGAATCTCTTAGTCTTTCAGGAGGTGTTTTCTTAGATAAATTGAGTAAGTATTTTGGGAGTTCATGGTATAATAGGGATTGTTACTGATCTACAAAACGGAAAGGCACTCGATTCATTTGAATTTAAGCTTGGAGGGGTTTACAGTTCCTAGTTTACAGTCATGAACGAGGATAATCATACAGAAAATTTACGTCAAGTCTTTGCTTCATGCACGAAGATGTTAAATTAGAGAAACAAATTGACCCAGGGAGCACTTTAAGATGCCCAGAATGTATTTAACAAACCATGGAATCTCAGAGACTTCGTCGTTCTCTCCTTAGAGAAGGTAAGTTAATTTAACAAGACAATAAAATATTGAATTAATACGTGGATTTCTAAACTTAACAGATTGGAGATGGCTATGAAGCATCGGCCGACAGCTTGAGATCAAGTATTACACGTAAATAAGATGATGGAGAGCCTCAAACCGTAGCTGAAGGACTTGCTTTAGGCACAAAATCTATGCTAAGCAATATATTCTCTGCAGTGGCTGGCGTTGTTGCAGAACCTTTGCTGGGTGCCTAAGAGGGAGGACTTACTGGTGGAGCTGTAGGATTGGGTAGAGGAATTCTGGGTCTTGTCTGGTCTCCAGTAAAAGGCACTATTGATTTAGTTACATAAACATCAAAGGGCCTCTCTAACACTCCAAAAACTATGTATGTGGGTTTCAATAGGATGATCAAAAGAGTATCAAAGGATGAATTGTCTTCAAGAAATCCTAATGAGCCAATTACTAAAACCTTTAACCCTGAAGATCACGTATTGCTAGGAGAAGAAAATGGATAACTTATTTACATTAACAAAAAGAGGTTAAGAGAGTAAATTAATAGCAGCTAAGTCTTAAGCGATCTTATGTACGAAAGTGAGAAATTCATGAACGAAGATGAATAGATTAAGATGAGATCAGTTATCATGAGACAGAGAGATCTACTGAAGCGAAAAGAACAGAAACTTTAAAAAGAGGCCTCAAAAAAGGATCAGATTAAGACAATTACTGAGGAACTCTTAAATAAGTTGAATGAAAGTAATTAGCAATAGTAGAGACCCCCACAAGAGGATGAGACTTCATCAGTAGCAAACGAAGGTTCTGAGACATCTTCAGTTGCAGAGGAGAGAGAAATTCATGCCAAGCTTTAGAAAATTCTCTAAATCATTTAGGATAAAGATACTTCATAATAGAAGCGAGATGATATTCAAATATCTCAAGATGTCTTAGCCGAGCAATCAATTCTAATGGAACAAAGATTTATATAGGAGATATTTGACGAGGCTTAAGGAGATGATGTTTAGCTGTACCTCATATAGGCATCTTAACTACAAGGTATTGTTAATTAAGATGAGAAATGGGAATTCGATAACTTTTACAATGAACTCAGAAGAGCTAATAGATAAGGTTCTTATGAGGAAGAGAAGAAGTTCGGCAAGTAAGTGTAGTAACTTTCTAAACAGGATGAAATAGTACTAAGATAGAAATATGAGAGATAATAGGAGTTGCTTTAGAGAGCATCAAAATTTAAAGGATTTACTCAATATAAACCAGGCAGAGATGATTATAGACATCCAGAAGATGCTGCTCCAAATGGAGGTATCCATCTTAAGGATACTGAACTTATCCATAGACTTAGATCTAGTGGTAAAGAGATGCTAAAAACAATAGGCAAAAAGATTATGAGCGGAAGCTTCAATTTAACTACTGTCAGCTTCCCAATCAAATGTATGTGCGCCAAGAGCACTCTTGAAAGTATTGGTGAGCTTGCTGGAATAAATCCAATCTATATTAATGCAGCTGCACTTAGTCAAGATCCCATTGAAAGAATGATTCTAGCTATTACCTCATCAATTGCTTATTTCTACCCTACTCACATGTTTGAAAAGCCATTAAATCCTATACTCGGAGAAACATTCCAAGCTGAAGGCCAAGATGGCACGAAAATATATGTTGAACAGACTGAGCATAGACCTCCAGTTACCAACTTCCTATATGAGGGGCCAAATAGTCTGTATAGGATGTATGGATACAGTAGCTTTGTTGCCAAGGCTTGGATTAATTCAATATCCTTGAAAGTTGATGGAAGAAAGACACTTGAATTCGCAGATGGATCTAAAATTGAATGGAATGTCCCAGGAGATTAGTTCAACAGCATTTTTATGGGAACTATCGTGCATCAAGTTACCAACAAAATCGAATACCATTACAAAGCTCACAACATTTATGCTTTCATTGATATCGGCAGTGTGAAGAAAAAGTAACTATCAATAATTTTCATTACAAATTTATAGGCCTTAGGATCAATTTGTTGGAGAAATTCATTGGAATGGAAAGAAGCTTATCGATATTTCTGGCAACTATATGGGTTATATCGATATTGGTGGAGTTCGTTATATGGACTTAAGAGAGATGGACAAGTTCTACTTCCCAGTAAGATTCAAATTTGATAATTAACATTTCTAGATTTAATCAGTTGACCCAGCAATTTAACTTGAGTCAGACTCTCTTAAAAGACCGGATTCTGTTAATTTAAAGAGAGGAGATGTCAAAGAAGCTTAGAAACGTAAAGACTAGCTAGAAGTTGAATAGAGACATGATAGAAAACTCAGAGAAACTTGCGAAGCTAGAAGAAAGAAGAAGGGCGGCAAGAAATTCGGAAATCTTTATTGATTGCTCAGTCAATATTCACTAAATGACTGAATCATTTTCAAAATAATGCTTGACTATCATTTGAGATTCTGTTCTCAATATGACTATATTTATAATGACAGCAAAGCATATTTCAAATTTCAAACATAATTACTATAATCTTGGCATTTTAAATATCCTGTGAATAGTCTAATGCTGGCATATGGGGTTTTGGGGTTTTGGGGAGATCGAAAGAGCACACGTCTGAACTCCA